TCCTGGAGCATTGCTGAGCAATGCTGCACTCCTCTCTCTCACACAAGAGCTCAGAGGAAGAGCTCCGCTACTTTGGGAAGGTTGGGCATGGCTGGGTGATGTTTGGTGACCACTAATTTTGTTTTCCTGACTTCCATCAGCATTTTAATCCATGCAAGCAAGCTGTTAAGTGGCGTGGCCGAGGGCTGGCTACCAGCCCCTTTGCTGCATTTGCTGCCAGACAGTTATCCCTAGCAGAAGGGGACTAAGGGCTGCTGGTTTGAACCACCCAAGTCCCTCGTGCTCAACCAGAGTCCTTTTGCCTCCCTGCGCTTCTGTTTGCCACCTGCAACACGGGGTTAACTGCATCTCCCTCTATCCCAAAGGAGCTGCTAAGATGAAACCCCTAACAGACTTTGCAGTGCTGATGCCTTGGTAGCAGAGGGTCTTCATGCACAGAGCGTGGCTCTGCAGAGGTTTCTGAGACTCCAGCTCACTACGTCTGCACTTTGAGCTGGCCTGGGACCTGCGTATTCGTGGTAAAGGGGTGCTGTGCCCACACTGCTAATCTTCGCTGGGCTCAGCCCAGCACCAACGCTTTGTCGGGATGCTGCCATCCGTGCGTGTCCAGCCAGCGTGGACCACGGGCAGGGGGAGCTCAGCTGGCGAAGGCCCAGGCAGACAGCCCCTCAGGTAGGTGGATATGGCCAGTCAGCTGTTCGCAAGCGGCCGGCGCCGGCGCGGGGGAATTACCTGCTGTTCCAGCAGTCTGAGCAGCAGCTGGAAGACGCTGGCAATAAGACAGCTCATTCTCCGGCTCAGCGAGAGCCTGCGGCCTCTCCGATTTCTCTGCCTGGGCTGCTGCCAGTTCGGTGGCAGGGTAGTACTTCGGTAGGTAGCTTTCTGCAACGGGAAGGACTGAAGTAAAGTGCTTTCTCTGCTGCAAGGCCTTGGGGCCCGAAGCGCTACCTTCTGGCTTTCTCCCTCCTGCGTCATCAGCATGACCGCTGGCTATGATGCTCGGTGCTGGGATGACTTCTCTCCCCTGCCAGACAACACTGTCACTGTAGGTCATCGCCCGCTCCTCCCGGGGTACGGCAAACTCCTTGGCTTTTAGCTGGGAGTCTGCAATCTGCAGCTTCTGCAGAAAGAAGTCCCATGTGAAGGGAGAGACAGTGAGTGGGAAGGCCAGTTGCTAAAGCACCAACAAGCAACGCTACCTGCCCACAGCAAAGCCGGGGCTTTGGAGGGGTCAGCATCCCTGGGGACACAACGGCCACAAAGCAGTTCCATAACTGTCATTAAAAATGCACAGACCGTCGCGGCTTCCTCTTTCTGCCCATCTTATGGCTTGGGACTCTGCTGGGCCCCAGGTGGACAGCAGGAGGGAGCACTGGCACAAGCAGCGGTTTGCTGGTGGGACAGGGAACAGCTCCAAGGTTCGTGTCGGGCAAAGGCTAATGGGGCTGCTGGCATGGCAGCTCTGGGGGGTCTGCTGGCTCCAGCCTCTTCAGCTGCACACTACAGCTCCATCACAAGCCAGTTGCTCCTTTCTAGGGGCTCAGAAAGAGACCTTCCTGCTGTGAGTTCTGCCAGGCTGCTGGGGTCAGCAAGGACCATCTTCACGGGGTTTGTCCATCGTCATTTCGGATCTCCATGGTGGAGATCCAAAAAAATCCAAATTTTGTTCCTCAACCTCCAAGGTCCCCAGGGCTCTCCCCAAGGTGGCTTCTCCTTCACCATGCTGACAATAGGGCAGGTGGAAGCTGCAGAGCTATGGGAACTACCTGTATTTGGGAGCTTCCCCCACCAAGGATGGCCAGAGCTCCTCATAAGGCATCTCCAGAGGGATAGGAGCCTCCAGGAGCCCACGGTGGGGATGGCTCACCAGCCAGTGCTTTCTGGCTCAACCCAAGGAGCTCCCCACATTCCCCTTGGGAACAGGCTACCCTCCAAAATTTGGCAAAGAAAAAAACACCATATTTTTTAAAGAGTTTTTATCCTCTTAAAATAAAACCAAATGCTGGCAGGGCTAAGAAGGAAACCTGGGCCTCCTGAGTACCTCATCATCATGCTATCCTATGGGACAGCTTTCTTCTGCAGGCCTTGGGAGTTAATAAAGAGGCAATAAAAAGTCAAAGGGAGCTGCAACCCAAGGAAAGCAGACATATCTCAGGTTCTCCCTCCCTTTTTATCTCCCAAAATACATCAGGACCTCCACAGGAAGCATGCAGCCTTCAAAAAAAAAAAAAAAAATCAAAAAAAAAAAAAGGAAAAACAGAAAAGAAAAAGAAGTTGAGATGCATGGCTTGGAAACTGCTGTGCTCCAGCAGGCAGGGGTTAAACCTTGCCCTCCCAGCCAGGATCTCGGCTCCTGGAAGCGGAGCAGCCACCTAAGGCTGGGGCTGCCTGGGAAGTGCTCGCCAGCCCCAGAGAACAGCGGGAGCCCCGGGCAGGACAGTTAATGAAGGCTGCTGGCAGCAGGAGCGCTCCCCTGGGGCAGGAGGAGGGGAGAGGGGAGGAGAGGAGAGGAGAGGAGAGGAGAGGAGAGGGCTCCCCAAGCTGCTGCCCAGGCTAGGATGGCAGCGGTGGCCACAGACAGCCCCTCTGTCCCAGCGGGCACCTTCACACAATGATTTCTCTGTTGTCGTCCCCCCCTTTTTCCTCCCCAGCCTGATCTTTTTTTTTCTCCTCTCTCGTGAGCATACGAGCCCAAAGCACTTTAGCAACCGAACATGCCCCCTGCCACTTCTCTGCAGTGGCCCAGTGCAAACCGCAGCTGTCCCCACCGGGCTGCCACAAGCAATTAAGCCAGGGCAGGCCGAGCGAGGCAAATCAGATTAAATAGCTCAGGGGGTCGCTCGCACTGCAAGGAGATTAGAAAGAAAACAACCTCAGCTTCCCCGGAGAAGTCTTCTCAGGCCTGTGTCAGGGCAAGGAGACATCTCCATCCCAAATGCAATCCCCCACCTCAAGGCAGTACCGGGATGGGTCTAATCCTGACGCGCTCCATCAGCCCCACAGGGAGCAAGAGGAGTCCAAAGCTTAGGCGC